AAAGAATCAAGTTCATGAATGAATAAATTATGACTAAACATGAAGTCAAACTCAACATACATTGTAATTACACAAATTTATAGATCTGGTCAAAAATTTGCAATATAATTATGCTTCCTAATTTTAAAGGAGGGAAATGAAATTTAAAACAGTTAACTTGTCTAAGGACCACAGCCCCAAGTGTTCTGGTTATTTGCACAGTGATTTCCCACTGCCGCATGGCACATGGCCTTTAAATTATTTTCCATTAATTCCTTTGTCTCCTTTGCTCCCCTTCGTGAAAAATGCCTGACATGACCCTGTAATTATATGATATGATAGATTAGGCCTTCCTTCCTTAATAGTCCATTTGGCAATAGATTATTCTTTTCTTCAGGAGGAAAAACAGTTCCCTCTTCTTCTTCTTTTTTTTTTTTTTTGCCTATGCCATTGCTCTGCTTTATCTGATTGTGGCTAGAGCATTGCGAGCAGTGAGTAAGGCCATATATAGACTGTTTTGGGGCTAGCAGTGGTGATAGTGAGGTGGTCTTACAGTGGTTAGGTATAAACAGATACTTGACCTCAGCTTGCCACAAATACATTGATGGACAGAAAAGAATAATGGATCTTGATTTAAATTTTATAAATAAGACAAAAGCTGTTACTAATATTTATTTCAAAGACTGCACATTTGAAGGCCCCCCCTCCCACAAATCTATGATAATTATTGCACATTGCTCACTTTATGATAAATAAGTATTAAAACAAACAAAAAAACTTCTGAAATAAATTTTTACTGGGATTTTTCTTTCTTAAAAATCTATCCCTATTGCAACATTCTCTCCATTTTTATGTTTCTTTCTTATTTTTCTCTGCTTAGTGAAAGTAAATAGCTATTGATTACAGTTTCCCCCAACAGGAACAGTCTGAGCAGCCGAGTTAAACCAGGCTAAGAGAAAAGAGATTGTTTGTCAAATGGAAATAAATTACTTCCAGGCTTGATGTTAATCAGAGAATTGTTTCCTGTACCCTCCTAATGAGGCCTTTGAAAGTGTTCTGAGACCACAACAAGGTGGAACAAACAGTCTACTGTGGGGTATGTTTCCTCACCAAGCACAGAAGAAAGAAGAGAGGGAGTGGAACTTCACCCTCTGGCATTATTGATTGATTTTGTATGTGTCTGTTTTAAATCAACTGTCCAATACACTGCATTATTTTCATCTAGTTTTTTGTGTTCAATTTTAAAAAGTTTTATTTTGAACTAAATTGAGACATGGCAAAAAATGGAACAATTTCACTCAGCCAGCTTCCACTATTGCTACCATCTAACATAACCAAAGCACAACTATCAGAACCAGAAAATTAACAGTTGTACAACACTGTTACTAATCGAACTCCTGTATTTGAATATCACCAATACTTCTTCTAACATATTTTGTTCTTTTCCAGTATCCTATCCAGACTTTTACCTTGTGATTAGTTATTTCTTCTTCGTCTCCTGCGGTGGTAGATTAGGGAGGAGTGAGACAGCTAAGCAGTGTTTGGGGGAACCTCTGGGACTTGATAAAAAAAATAAAGTGGTAGACACATACTGCTTTTACACTGGTTGGTACAGGATAGTTAACAGTCAATTAATATGGTAACAATAGCATTGAAGAGATTCGTAGTTGTCCCCTGTTGCGGTGCCTGTGCTTGGAGGGGCCCTGAAGAAGGAAATTTGACATGCTAAAGCGCAGTATCCCAGACGCAAAAAGGCAACAGACAGGCTCCATGAAGGTAGACAGTGACCTTTGTTAGGGAAAAACACTGACCTAGGACGTGACCACCCACCATGAACTGTTCTTAGTTAGAAAGTTTTAATTTCAGACCATCCTGAGTGGCTACTTTAGGTCTCTTGAGTGTGTAAGGTGGCCATGAAGGGCTCCCCTGAACTTGTCAAGTTTTGTATGTGGCCCCTTTTATTTCACAGTCATGACCTTGAAGCTTTTAAAGATTTTTGATCAGTTATTTTTTCAGATGTTCCTTAAACTGGGGTTAAGCTAATTCAAACTAACGTAATCAGATATTCTAATGCATGACTGAACATGTGTTATTAAATATGAATGGTATTCATATGAATTGTGTTATTTAATGTTTGATATCTTCTCCTTCAAGATATTTTATACTTTAAAATCCTTTCTCTGAAGTTCTTTTTCTGATTTCCTCAGTTACTTTTTTCCTCCATGTTTTGAGAGGGTTTACTTTATCTGGTGATCACATCACCTCACACTCAGGCCCCTTAGCTAGTGTTCTTGCTCTGATCTTGTTTTTGTTTTTTTGTTTGTGTTTTTTGTCTTTTTGTTAATCTGTGCTACTGGTCAAACAGAAGGCAGAGAAGGGATGGGAGCATTTGAGACTGTGGCATTTGTCTTTATTTCTATTTTTTTTACATGCAATATTTTTGCTGTTTTTGATTTTGATGATCTCAGGTAGTTTTGAGGTTTCACTTTGAATTTTCATAGATGTGAAAATATTTCATATTGTGAGGAGCAGATCTGGGGAAGTTGTTTATTATACATCTGATGTTTCCTGTAGCTACCTATAATCCTTTATAATGACATTTTATGTTCCCAAGTGATATACAAACTAATATATAAACGATTTCAAAGAATGTCAAGAATTATTAATCTTAAACATCTAAAGCTAAAGAAAAACTGTGGCTGAGATCCTGGTATTGGAAACTAGGCAGAGCAAGTACAGTTGTCTCTATAAAAGAATAATAACAAGACATGTAGACTTATGTTTGGAATCCTCATTGGGGAATGTGTTTTAATCTGAAGATACCTCTGACTTGCTAGATGCACAATCCTGAACAAGTTTCCTAACTTACATAAGTCTTATATTCTTCCTCTATAAAATCTCCAGGTTGTTGGGAGAAATAATGGGATAATGTTTAAACATATCTAACAAGAGTGCCTGGCATAGTGGGTATTCACAATGTTCTTTAACTTCCCATTTTGTTGTTCCTTCTTTATAATTTTGTTGCTACAATGCATGATCTGGTGTATTGCTTCTTCCTCACATTCCTGTGTAGGTGTTTTTCCTATTGTAACACATTCCTGTTTGGTGGTTTCCCATTGTAACACATCACTTTTCCTACTCTGAGAAATATTAAGGCACCAATCTTAGCACATTCTGAGATCCATAATTCTCAATGCACAGAATCGACTTTAGTTCTTATTGTGAGGTTTCTATTTCATGAAAATTGCGTTTAGATATCCAATAGCCAGCTCAACTTATTAATACTGAATCCAGTTAGGCTCAGTTGGGATATGTTATATTTAAAAGTTATTTCTGTTTTTCTTGGCAATTGAATGCTTCATTAAAGAATTCTGCAAGAAATCCAGAAACTTATCTCGCTGCAATTCTGTACCATTTCTGCCTTGAGTTTACATTCCTTCTTAGGAAAATAATTTTTCTAGTTCTTTAAATTCTGTTCCATTCAGTCAACTCAACTCTACTGAACACAATTCAAGTCAATTCAAATTAATTTAGTTAAGTTACAGACATTTCAGTTCCCTCTTACAGAGCAAATGATATTTATTGACCAGACATTGTGCTTGTCACTGAGAAAATAAAGTCACTAAAGGAGCTAAAATTCTCTTAGACAATGAACATAAACACAAAGCAATACTGTCATAGTAGTGAGATAAGGTGATACAATGGGCTCACAGAGGAAGAGTGGTGCAATTTACCTGGATTTTGGGCAGGGTCAGAGAAGGAGTGATTTTAAAACTGGTCGTTATAAAAATAAGTAGGATTTTACCCAAACTAAAATGGTAGTAGCAGTAGGCATTCTGATAAGGGCATTATATGCAGGATGTCACAGGTTACATATCAGTCAGTGGTTTATATATACAGCCCTTAAAGGTCTAGAGACTTTCCCTGAAGACATCAGAGAGGAGATTGCCTAAAGGGAAAGACAGAGAAAAAAAGAGTTTGAGAACTGAACATGGCTGACATAAGCCAACTATTTTATATTAAAAAAACCATCTATTGAACCATAAGTTTAATAGACAAGCTGATCTTTACCTTAATAAAAGAGCCCTCTTTCTCTAAAATCTCACTGTTATTTAATATATTCATGCTTTATTTTCTTCTTTATCAATTTTATAATTTATCTTCATATCTTAGTCCTGGTCCAATTTGTCTTTCATTTATTGCTTAGCTTGTGTGATGCCCTTCATTCTAATCATTCTGGCTTCCCCACTGTCCATCAACTATCTGCTTACCTCATATATATATGAGCACTTTCAATTATGTAGACTAATTGGATTGAGAAAGCATTGTTGGTATTAAAGAAGGATATGAATGAGATGGGTTATTATGGAAATTCTGACCTAGAGAGCAGCTTATAAATCTCAACATTTTCCATCATTTATAATCAACCTACCGCATGTCTATTTTTTTCTTCTCCTTAGTCTCTTAAAAAAAATCATGACTCTGGAGACTTTAGAGAAAGAAGAACCCGAATTTTCTTATGTTATTTTTTTTGCTGGATACGAAGGCAAAGGATGACTTTAGAAGGTTCTCTGGTGGAAGATGAAATAGTCCCTGTCAGCTTACTCCCCTGAAGGAATGGACAGTTCTTCCCTATCCCAGCCCACTGGACTAAACGTGATGGAGTAATAAAGTTGTGTTAAGGCAAGGAGGCTCAAAGGCTTTATATTATAGCTACCAGCGTTATAAACCACCAGATATAAGAGACATACACCTCTGTGCCTTTTTACCTATATTCTTTGTTTTAAGATCCATTATAAAAGTCTTGAAACCTTTCTAGGACAACTCTGTGCCTAAAGAGACTTAAACAAACAAACAAACAAACAAACAAACACATGTTATTCTCTGACTAGAGATGCCATTTGTTTGTTTGTTTGCTTTATTGGGAATTGCCCCTAGGTAAACACCAATATAACTGGAATTTAGGAATAAGCTTTTTAGATAAGAAGATAGTAACAGATATTTAAAGTAGAGAATGCTGGGCTGGCTTCAGCACAACATATCCTTCAATTGCTATGACATACAGAAGGTTAGCATGGCCCCTGCACAAGGATAACACACGCACTTGTGAAATGTCCTGTATTTTAAATAAACAAATAAAAAATAATAAAGTGCAATCTGCTACTCCTGGCAGTGTAGCTGTACAGAGAAGCAGAAAGACCATCCTGGAAAACTGGAGCATAATTTGAATAAACTCTGACAAAGTATATTTTCTAAATTAAAAGGAAAATAATAATACTTTATATTTATCCATGTATTTATCATTTTCAGTGCTCTTCATTCGTTCCAGCAGATCTGAGTGTTCATCTGTCATTATTTTGCTTCAGCCTAAGAAACTTCCTTAAGTACACCTTGTAGTACAGATCTACAGGCAGCAATGCTTGAAAATGTATTTATCTTAATGTTTGAGTGATATATTTGCTGCATATAGAATTCTGTGTTGACAGTTGTTTTTCATTTCATTTTGTTTTGTTTTAAATCTTTCACTCTTCAAAGATTTCTGGTCTCCAGTGTTTCAACTAAGAAGTCTTTGATTATTTACATAATTTTTCACCTATTATTATGTATTTCTGGAAAATTTTTTAAAAATATTTTATTTATTTAATTTTAGAGTAAGGGTGGGAGAAAGAGAGGGAGAGAAACACCAATGTGTGGTTGCCCCTCATGCGCCCCCATCTGGGGACCTGGTCCTCAACCCAGGCATGTGCCCCGACTGGGACTCAAACTGGCAAATCTTTGGTTCGCACGCAGGCTCTCAATCCAACGACCCACATCAGCCAGGGCTGTTTCTGAAGACTTTTAATACCTTTTTTTTTTTTGTTTTGGTTTCATCAATTTCAGGATAATACATGTAGGTGTGTTTTTCATTTAATATCCTATTTGAAATTTGGTGGGCATCTAAAGTCTGTAAATATATGTTTCCCCACAAATTTGGAGGGGAGGTTACAGTTTAAATAGGGTGTTTAGATTAGGCACCAATGAAAGGTGACATTTAGAAAGACTTGAAGGAAGTCTTTCTAAAGACTTGAAGGAAGTTAGAAAGTTAAAGACATAGGCCTGCATGTTCTGGGGGAAAGAAATTCGCAAGAAGAGGGAGGAACCAATGCAAAGGCTTTTAAATGACACATAACAGGAATATGAGTAACAGCAAGGGAGCCAGTCTGGCTGGAGGTGAGGGAGGAATGAGAATAGTAGGAGAAGAGGTTGAAGAGATAAGGGGGAGAGTCTTCATATAGTGTAGAACACGTATTTTCTCTATTAATAGTATACTAACTGCTCCTATTACAGCAATTTTTAGGATGGACCCTTGAAAGATATAATAATCTTCAAAGCTGGCCTTTTAATCCAAATCTAAAAGGAAAGAAAAATGAATTTGTGCAAAATTAGAAAATTAAAAATGCCAGATAGTCCTATGACATTAACCACAATGTGGTTATAATTTTACCACTCACCCTAATTCCTCTTATTTTCACTGTCTCTTCTGACTGAACCATGACTTTCATGTGGCATATTTAAGTCTCAGCTTTCTAAAGTAAATAATCAATTTCCTCATTTGAAAGGAAACAGAAATAAAATTGGCCAGATCCTGCTAAAATATGGTTTTTTTTTTTTTAATGGATGAAGTGGCAACATTGGTACTTGTAGAAATGCATTAATAATTTATTTTCAAGGATTATATGAATGTTTTTGAAAGTATATAAATATAAATATTTTTATCACTGATCTTATAAGAATGAATAACACATGTTAAAATAATTTTATGGGGTACCTGAGCATTGTCTTTCTGGTATTTTCTCTCTGTATATTGACATTTTTGAAAGTTTTGGTTATTGCCAAATAAGTTGCTAAATAGAATAGGCTTTGTGGTGCATGGATTATGGCCTTATGACAAAGAATTCTACTTAATTTATTGTTTCCAAAAGTGGCATATCCTTTATTGCTTATATTCATCTATATACCTCTTTCCATTCTAAAAGTGCCTTATAATGTCATTTGTAATTGTGGAGGAGAAACGACCATGACCACAGAAACAAAAAAGTGAGAAAACTTTTCTAATTTTTTTGAAGATTCCATGCTTAAGGCTGGTCTAGCACAGATGGTCATTCAAACCAACAGCCATAGCCTACATACAGAAACAGTTATTCATATAGTAGAAAAAAGACACTTCTGTGATATGTCAAGGAGAACATCTGGGCTTCCTGGGGTTGTCTTATCTCTCTGTCCTGCTTACATCTCCAATGACACTAACTTGCCCACCTTGTGCTTTATACTTGGAAATACTGACTTTAGACTGAGTTTAAGAAAATGAAGTGGATGAATGTAAAAATGCTATATTCACAATTATTAGCATCTGTCATCACTTGCAAATCGCCTAATTCTTTCTCTCAAATCTTTCTAAATTAAACATTTCGTAAGTCTCAGGTAGATCTTTGGATCAAGTAAATTTTATTCTATTTAATATTCTTGCAGCATCAGGTCTGCACATTAGTAGGCAACCCTAAGTAGAGATCACCCTTGTCAGTGTTCTACACTGTGAGGTACAAAGGATGTGAGGTCCTCAGGAATGTGTATATGGCATAGAATGCTACACCATTATTACATTATCTCAGCTATTTTTGAACCAATGCTAGAAGGCCAGTTCAACTCCTCATCTTGAGAAAAATGACTCTAAAATTCAGAGTGCATAAATGACTTGTAAATAACCACTCAGTCATTTTCTGTAAATATCAGGACTTGAATCAAGGTATTTTTACTAAATCATGTTTTCTTTCTATTGCATCATGACAACTTAAAAAAAATGGCCACCTTTCTTCCCACCTCACAGAGTGGAAATGACCATCATGTTCTCTTGTTTTTTGTCGGACTTTTCTGAACCAAATATTCACAAAGTTAAAATGTGTTAATTATATATTTCAGAGCTACAGGAGAAAAGTTGGCTATAAACATTGGACATATATAATTATCTCCATTAATATCCTGCTGTTTGATGTATCTTGTTTTAGGATTTCCATATCTTTAGATATCGGAAAAATATACTTTGGGACATATGTGGTATCTTGTCACTGTGCCTAGTTCCACAGGAAATAGTACAGCCAGAAACCTGTGGAACCAGTGTTAGGTGCTCATTTCCAACAGGGAATGGAAAGAGGGAGGTGAGTTGCTAGGGTGGAACTGAGAAGTGGTTTTCAAATATGCTCCTAATTGTCTCCAGATCTTGAGAAGCATCTCCTCACCTTAGTTCCCCATACACCACCCAAACACTCCATTCCACCTTACCTAAATGAGCATCTTATTCATCTATATGGCAAGGTCCTAGTAAGATTTATTTTTAATAAGATCTCTGATCAAACAAAAGTTTGAAAAGCGTTGGAGGATTGAAGAGGGGGTTGAATGGTTGTTAAAGAATTCCTGGTATCCTTCTAATTGGGCTTTTACCTTGCCACTGCTCAATCCATGCTCCAATGCTCCCGATCTCCTCATTTATACCTCTGATTCCAAGGGAGGTGAGAAAATATGGAAGTAATTTGCCAAAATGAAGGCTTTTAATCCAAAGGCATATGACTACTTTTCCAAGTGTGTTCATCAATTACTGAAAGCAACTTGATTCTGTGAAATTTATAAGTACCTGGCTTAGATAATGAGAGTGGTAGCTCTGCTCTTTTAAAGTACATCACAGCTTTGAAACAATTATGAATAACTTTTAAAAGCTGGGTTTTTCAACGTTCAAGTAGACGATAAAGAGAAACATAATTTGTCAATACTTTGCAAGATTGTCACTGCCCAACACAGTAAAGGAGCAAATTATTACACAGTTGCAGTAGGAGATCTCTAGTCCATTAGCATCTTTGGATAAAGACAGACTCTGATCTTCTGTATTTTTTTCTAAATAATGCCCAGTGTCACAGGAAAAGGTGCAACATCTTTATGGCTCCTCTGGTGCTGTGTGACTGTTGGAGGATGTCATATCTATTCTTCATTATCTGCCATGTCACTGTTATGAGCATCATCTTCAACTTTATTTCATTCAGAGGTGATGTAAGCCACTTTGATCTAACCATATTGAAATCGTCTTCTTTCCTCCTTCTTTGCATCCCCAGTTCTTTCTAGTTCCTGGTTGCAAGCTTGACATGCTCCATCTGATGTTGATGGTGTCAATGTCTGTTATAAAGTTTTTTCTACCCTCTTCTCAAAGCTCACTCAATGCCAAATGTAGACTAGGAAGCAATATAAATTCTACTTAATAGCTGGTTCTTTTTAAAAAATGACTTTCAAAGATACACATTGGCAAAACTATTTAGAATCTTATGCTTTCTTTTTTCTGAAACTACATACTTTTTCTTAACTCATTTTCCTTCTGAATATCCTCTTGTATACATACATGGTGCCAGAAATTATATTTAAACTGCTTGCTTATTGAAGTGGTTACTGCAATTTTCATGCTTTTAATGTGAAGGCATTTTAGATGTGGTGTATGTAAGTGTTTAAAATCAGCAACAGCACACTCTCCACATCTCCACAGCCAGTTTCTGCCTTAAAATTTGAAAATCACCTTCCTTCTTATGTAAAAGGACAAAGAGATAGGGTCACCTGCTTGTGCCTGATGCTTAAATTGAGGTGGGACGTCTTTCCTTTTCTCCTTGAAGATAACTGCTATTTTCACCACAGAGAGAGAGAAAAAAAAGGCTCTACTGTATATTTCTATAATGGAACTAAAAGAGCTCAGCAGCCTGTCTGAATTGAAAGGTCTAATTAGATTCTACTTTAATGTAAGATCTTGGCTTGAAGATACTTAACCACTAAAAGAGAGAGGGCTTTAAAAGAGGAAGCTATAAAATGTTTAAATGTAAGCATCTAAAGTATATAACTAGGAAATGAAAATACAATGCACCATATAAACTGGGAAATTTCTAATGCATTCTGAAAACTCCCTTTCGTGCTTATTTTCATTCAACATATACCCTGTTCTCATAAAGGAAATGGTCATGAAGGGAGGTGAGCTATGAGAGGAAAGATTCTAGCAAGATCTCCAAGTTTAAAATAGAAGCCAGCTGTGCTAATACCATTAGCAATACATAGAGATTTGTGA